TCGCGACGCTCTAGGGCATCCGGGGAGAGCATTGCGACGCTCTGGGGCGTCCGTGGAGAGCATCGCGACGCTCTGGGGCGTCCGGGGAGAGCATCGCGATGCTCTTGGGCGTCCGGGGAGAGCATAGCGACGCTCTGGGGCGTCCGGGGAGAGCATCGCGACGCTCTGGGGCGTCCGGGGAGAGCATCGCGACGCTCTGGGGCGTCCGGGGAGAGCATTGCGACGCTCTGGGGCGTCCGGGGAGAGCATCGCGACGCTCTCGGGCGTCCGGGGAGAGCATTGCGACGCTCTGGGGCGTCCGTGGAGAGCATCGCGACGCTCTGGGGCGTCCGGGGAGAGCATCGCGACGCTCTTGGGCGTCCGGGGAGAGCATAGCGACGCTCTGGGGCGTCCGGGGAGAGCATCGCGACGCTCTGGGGCGTCCGGGGAGAGCATCACGACGCTCTGGGGCGTCCGAGGAGAGCATCACGACGCTCTGGGGCGGCTGGGGAGAGCATCGCGACACTCTGGGGCGTCCGGGGAGAGCATCGCGACGCTCCGGGGCGTCCGGGGAGAGCATCACGACGCTCTGGGGCGTCCGGGGAGAGCATCGCGACGCTCAGGGGCGTCCAGGGAGAGCATCGCGACGCTCTGGGGCGTCCGGGGAGAGCATCGCGACGCTCTGGGGCGTCCGGGGAGAGCATCGCGACGCTCTGGGGCGTCCGGGGAGACCATAGCGACGCTCTAGGGCGTCCGGGGAGAGCATCGCGACGCTCTGGGGCGTCCGGGGAGAGCATCGCGACGCTCTGGGGCGTCCGGGGAGAGCATCGCGACGCTCTGGGGCGTCCGGGGAGAGCATCGCGACGCTCTGGGGCGTCCGGGGAGAGCATCCCAACGCTTTGGGGCGTCCGGTGAGAGCATCGCGACGCTCTGGGGCGTCCGGGGAGAGCATCGCGACGCTCTGGGGCGTCCGGCGAGACCATAGCGACGCTCTGGGGCGTCCGGGGAGAGCATCGCGACACTCTGGGGCGTCCGGGGAGAGCATCGCGATGCTCTGGGGCGTCCGGGGAGAGCATCGCGACGCTCTGGGGCGTCGGGGGAGAGCATCGCGACGCTCTGGGGCGTCCGGGGAGAGCATCGCGACGCTCTGGGGCGTCCGGGGAGAGCATAGCGACGCTCTGGGGCGTCCGAGAAGAGCATCGCGACGCTCTGGGGCGTCCGGGGAGAGCATCGCGACGCTCTGGGGCGTCCGGGGAGAGCATCGCGACGCTCTGGGGCGTCCGGGGAGAGCATCGCGACGCTCTGGGGCGTCCGGGGAGACCATAGCGACGCTCTAGGGCGTCCGGGGAGAGCATCGCGACGCTCTGGGGCGTCCGGGGAGAGCATCGCGACGCTCTGGGGCGTCCGGCGAGACCATAGCGACGCTCTGGGGCGTCCGGGGAGAGCATCGCGACACTCTGGGGCGTCCGGGGAGAGCATCGCGATGCTCTGGGGCGTCCGGGGAGAGCATCGCGACGCTCTGGGGCGTCGGGGGAGAGCATCGCGACGCTCTGGGGCGTCCGGGGAGAGCATCGCGACGCTCTGGGGCGTCCGGGGAGAGCATAGCGACGCTCTGGGGCGTCCGAGAAGAGCATCGCGACGCTCTGGGGCGTCCGGGGAGAGCATCGCGACGCTCTGGGGCGTCCGGGGAGAGCATCGCGACGCTCTGGGGCGTCCGGGGAGAGCATCGCGATGCTCTGGGGCGTCCGGGGAGAGCATTGCGACGCTCTGGGGCGTCCGGGGAGAGCATCACGACGCTCTGGGGCGGCTGGGGAGAGCATCGCGACGCTCTGGGGCGTCCGGGGAGAGCATCTCGACGCTCTGGGGCGTCCGGGGAGAGCATCGCGACGCTCTGGGGCGTCCGGGGAGAGCATCACGACGCTCTGGGGCGGCTGGGGAGAGCATCGCGACGCTCTGGGGCGTACGGATAGAGCATCGCGACGCTCTAGGGCGTCCGGGGAGAGCATCGCGACGCTCTAGGGCATCCGGGGAGAGCATTGCGACGCTCTGGGGCGTCCGTGGAGAGCATCGTGACGCTCTGGGGCGTCCGGGGAGAGCATCGCGATGCTCTTGGGCGTCCGGGGAGAGCATAGCGACGCTCTGGGGCGTCCGGGGAGAGCATCGCGACGCTCTGGGGCGTCCGGGGAGAGCATCGCGACGCTCTGGGGCGTCCGGGGAGAGCATTGCGACGCTCTGGGGCGTCCGGGGAGAGCATTGCGACGCTCTGGGGCGTCCGGGGAGAGCATCGCGACGCTCTCGGGCGTCCGGGGAGAGCATTGCGACGCTCTGGGGCGTCCGTGGAGAGCATCGCGACGCTCTGGGGCGTCCGGGGAGAGCATCGCGACGCTCTTGGGCGTCCGGGGAGAGCATAGCGACGCTCTGGGGCGTCCGGGGAGAGCATCGCGACGCTCTGGGGCGTCCGGGGAGAGCATCACGACGCTCTGGGGCGTCCGAGGAGAGCATCACGACGCTCTGGGGCGGCTGGGGAGAGCATCGCGACACTCTGGGGCGTCCGGGGAGAGCATCGCGACGCTCTGGGGCGTCCGGGGAGAGCATCACGACGCTCTGGGGCGTCCGGGGAGAGCATCGCGACGCTCAGGGGCGTCCAGGGAGAGCATCGCGACGCTCTGGGGCGTCCGGGGAGAGCATCGCGACGCTCTGGGGCGTCCGGGGAGAGCATCGCGACGCTCTGGGGCGTCCGGGGAGACCATAGCGACGCTCTAGGGCGTCCGGGGAGAGCATCGCGACGCTCTGGGGCGTCCGGGGAGAGCATCGCGACGCTCTGGGGCGTCCGGGGAGAGCATCGCGACGCTCTGGGGCGTCCGGGGAGAGCATCGCGACGCTCTGGGGCGTCCGGGGAGAGCATCGCAACGCTTTGGGGCGTCCGGTGAGAGCATCGCGACGCTCTGGGGCGTCCGGGGAGAGCATCGCGACGCTCTGGGGCGTCCGGCGAGACCATAGCGACGCTCTGGGGCGTCCGGGGAGAGCATCGCGACACTCTGGGGCGTCCAGGGAGAGCATCGCGATGCTCTGGGGCGTCCGGGGAGAGCATCGCGACGCTCTGGGGCGTCGGGGGAGAGCATCGCGACGCTCTGGGGCGTCCGGGGAGAGCATCGCGACGCTCTGGGGCGTCCGGGGAGAGCATAGCGACGCTCTGGGGCGTCCGAGAAGAGCATCGCGACGCTCTGGGGCGTCCGGGGAGAGCATCGCGACGCTCTGGGGCGTCCGGGGAGAGCATCGCGACGCTCTGGGGCGTCCGGGGAGAGCATCACGACGCTCTGGGGCAGTTGGGGAGAGCATCGCGACGCTCTGGGGCGTACGGATAGAGCATCGCGACGCTCTTGGGCGTCCGGGGAGAGCATCGCGACGCTCTGGGGCGTCCGGGGAGAGCATTGCGACGCTCTGGGGCGTCCGGGGAGAGCATCGCGACGCTCTGGGGCGTCCGGGGAGAGCATCGCGACGCTCTTGGGCGTCCGGGGAGAGCATAGTGACGCTCTGGGCGTCCGGGGAGAGCATCGCGACGCTCTGGGGCGTGCGGGGAGAGCATCGCGACGCTCTGGGGCGTCCGGGGAGAGCATCGCGACACGCTGGGGCGTCCGGGTAGAGTGTCAAAACATATGCATAATTGTATCTAGGCTATATTGGGGCTAGCCTTAGGGGGTACAGAAATAGTCTCGACACTCTAGTCTTGTACCCCAATCTTGACCTAATCTCATCATTCTCGTTCTTTCCTCACCTAGCTAGTGATTCTAACATGGTATTAAGAGCACAATGCTCCTTAGGACCGAATTTTTAAAAGGGCCCACCACTACTATTTCGATCTATTGCCCGAGTCGCGCCCCTAGGAGAAATGCGAAATTCGAAACCGTGCTCTAGGCGACACGGTTCCCTAGACGCGATTTTCCCTTCTAGTCACGTGCGACCCCCCCTGACCGCGCCCTAGCTGCCAGTACAGCCCGCGTAGGCCCGTCGCGAAGCCCGTACAGCCCGCGTAGGCCCGTCGCGAAGCCCGTACAGCCCGCGTAGGCCCGTCGCGAAGCCCGTACAGCCCGCGCCAGGCCGTCGCGCAGCCCGTACAGCCCGCGCCAGGCCGTCGCGCAGCCCGTACAGCTCACGTCAGGCCCGCACCCAGCGCGTAAAGCCCGCGCCAGGCCCGCACGCAGCCCTTACAGCCCGCGCCTGGCCCGCACGCGGCCCGTGTTACTGCTACTTACTGCTGCTGCTACTGAAGCTAGTGCTGCTACAGCTAGTGCTACTGCTGCCGCTGCTACTACGGCACTTGCTACAGCTACTATTGACTGAAACTACTCCAGCTACAGCTAGTGCTACTGCTGCAGCTCCTACTACTGCACTTGCTACAGCTAGTGCTACTGCTGCAGCTCCTACTCCAGTGCTTACTGCAGCTGCTCCTGACTGAAGCTACTGCTGCTACAGCCCCTGAAGCAGCCGCCCCTGGTGCAGCCGCCCCTGGACCCTCGAGCAGCCGCCCCTGGACCCAGAGCAGCCGCCCCTGGCCCCTGAAGCAGCCGCCCCTGGTGCAGCCGCCCCTGGACTCAGAGCAGCCGCCCCCGGCCCCTGAAGCAGCCGCCCCTGGTGCAGCCGCCCCTGGACCCAGAGCAGCCGCCCCCGGCCCCTGAAGCAGCCGCCCCTGGTGCAGCCGCTTTGCACGCCCTCGCGTGCCCCTAGCGTACCGGCCCCGCCCCACTAGCCCGCCCTTGCTGGCCCCGTGAGACTAGGCCCCGCCCTACTCTGCACGCCCTCGCGTGCCTCCCCCCGCGCAGCCCTGCCCTTGCAGCCCCGCTTGCGCCCTGTCACACCCGAGCCGCGCCACCTTACCGAGCCGCGCTGCTGTTCCTGCTGTCACTACTGCTCCTACTGCAACTATGGCTAGCCCTACTGTGCTCGCTTTCGATGCTGAGGGCCGCCCACTGAAATTTGACACCTGGCTCGATGACCTGCACCTTTTCCTTCAGCTCACTGCCATGGAGGATATTTCACTGTACGATCACGCGCTAGGACACGCTGCTGCTCCTGCTGCCACTGCTGACAGCACTGTCCGTTCACAATGGCAGACTCGTGACGCCCACGCTCGCTTCGCTATTCGCAACTCCCTGCCGATAGATGAACGCGAACACTTTGGCCAGCACAAGACTTCACAGGCACTGTACACTGCTGTAGTCGCACGCTACTCCTCACCCGCCTCTGCTGCGCTAGGCCGTCTCTCACTCCCCTACCTGTTCCCAGACCTGTCCGCTTTCTCCACAGTCGCTGACCTCATCACGCACCTCCGCTCTAGTGAGGCCCGTTTCCGTGCAGCTATGCCCGCTGAGTTTCTTACCAAGAACCCCCCCCCCGCTGTGGCTGACGCTCTACCACCTAGTCACCCGTCTCCCTGACTCCCTTCGTGCTGTTAGGGACCACTTCCTCGCTCGCTGCCCCACTGAGCTCACCATTGACCTCCTCGAGAAGGAACTGCTTGCAGCTGAGACTAGCATAGTCGCTGTAGGTACCTCTCGTGGCGACCCCCGCACCCCTTTCTTCGAGGGGTGTTCCCCTTCCCCCCTCCTCCCCTCTGTCGCCTTTGCTGCTGCTGTCGACCTCCTAGGTACTGAGCAGGTCGGGACTGCGTCCACTCCGAGTGGACGCCGCAGCGGCAAGGGCAAAGGGGGCAAGGGAGGTGGTGGTGACGGCGGGGGAGGTGGTGGTGGGGGTGGTGGCGGTGGTGGGGGTGGTGGCGGGGCTGGAGGGGCTAGTGGCAGAAGTGGGGGTGGTGGCGGCAGTGGGGGTGGTGGCGGCAGTGGGGGTGGTGGCGGCGGTGGCCGAGGTGGAGGCAGGGGTGGTGGTGGTCGAGGCGGTGGTCACGGTGGTGGTCAGTGCCAGCAGCAGACTCTGTCGCCCCAGGAGCTTCATGAGTGGTACTCTCAGCATGGGGGGGGGGTGGCCTTAGCTGCACGTACGTCATTCGCACAGGTGACCGCACTGGTCAGACGTGTGGGAGGGCTCACACCGCGCAGCGCTGCTTCTCTCGCCTTGACGATGCCTGGCGCACCCAGTTTCCTGGTGCCACTGAGCTGCCCCGCTGGGCTGATCTGATGAGGAAGAACATTGATGTCTATGCTCTTGACTTTGATGCTATTCTTGGTGCCATGTATGTGATGTCTAATAGTGGAGAGAGTGCTCAGTACCTGCGTGTTCCACCCGATCCGGGCATTCGGACCAGCGAGGCTGCCGCTCTAGGTGCTAGTGAGCCTGCCGCTCCAGGTGCTCGCGTGTCTGCTGCCCCAGGTGCTGGTGAGGCTGCTGCTCTAGGTGCTCGTGAGTCTCCCCCCCCTGGTACTGAGTCTACTGAGGCACTGCACACCTTCACACTGGACTCCGGTGCATCCCGCTGTTTCTTTCGTGACCGCACGGCCCTTGAGCAGCTTGCTCGGCCGGTTGCAGTCTCCCTCGCTGACCCCTCTGGGGGTCCGGTCATTGCGACCTCCTCCACTGTCCTCCCCTGTCCTGCGGTCCCGTCGGGCACACTGTCAGGTCTCTACCTCCCCTCGTTCTCTACGAACTTGGTGGCGGGTCGTGCGCTCCAGGACGGGGGTGTCCACCAGTTCACCCCTGCCTACGAGCGCGTGACACACTGCACGTGCGCTCGGACGGGTCGCCACCTGGCTACCTTCACTTGGCAGCCAGGGTCGGACCTGTACACACTGACCACTGAGTCCCCTCAGGTAGCTGCGTCTGCGTCTGCGTCAGGTCAGCTGTCGCCCCCCTGCTCGTGTCGCTCCTTGTCGCACGAGACCGTCCTCTGGCACCACCGCCTTGGTCACCCGTCCGTGCAGCGCCTTCGTGGCATGCACTCTCGGTACCTTGTCTCTGGTCTTCCCAGGGTTCTCCCTCCCCTCCCACCCTCGCCTGCTCCTCCCTGTCTTCCCTGTGTCGAGGGGCGGCAGCGCGCCGCTCCTCACTCCTCCTCGTTTCCCCCGACGACTGCTCCTCTGCAGACACTCCACATGGACGTGGACAAGGTCAGGAGAGGTACTTCTTGATAGTTGTTGACGACTACTCGCGCTACACCACGGTCTTCCCCTTGCGCACCAAGCGTGAGGTCCCTGATGTTTTGATCCCTTGGATCCGCGCTGCCCGTCTCCAGCTCAGCGAGAGGTTCCATTCCGACTTTCCTGTCCTCCGTCTGCACTCTGACAGAGGTGGGGAGTTTTCCTCCGGCCTCCTGGAGGCCTTCTGTCAGAAGGAGGGTATTGAGCAGTCGTTCACGCTTCCGGCCTCTCCACAGCAGAATGGGGTTGCTGAGCGCCGCATTGGCTTGGTCATGGAGGTCGCTCGTACCTCCTTGATCCATGCGGCTGCCCCCCACTTTCTGTGGCCGTTTGCAGTCCGATACGCTGCGCATCAGCTCAACCTCTGGCCCCGTGTCTCCGTTCCGGAGACTTCGCCGACACTGCGTTGGACGGGCAAGGTTGGCGATGCGTCACGCTTTCGGGTTTGGGGATCTCGAGCCTTTGTTCGCGATACGTCCGCGGACAAGCTCTCCTCCCGCGCTGTTCCTTGTGTCTTCCTTGGCTTTGTCCCGGACGCGTCTGGTTGGCAGTTTTACCACCCCACCTCGCGCCGTGTCCTGCCTTCTCAGGACGTCACTTTTGACGAGTCCGTCCCCTACTACCGCCTCTTCCCCTACCGCACTGCCCCGCTCCCTCCCCCGCCTCTCTTCCTCGCTCCAGGTGCTGCTGTAGTAGACCCCCTCCCCCCTCAGGGTGCCGCTCCCTCAGGTGTGTCCCAGGTAGACCCGGTTGAGCCTGTCGAGGTAGCTGTCGACTCTCGTCCTACTTGGGGTGCTGAGCCTGAGTGTGCGGAGCCTGAGTGTGCGGAGCCTGGGGGTGCTGAGCCTGGGGGTGCTGAGCCTGAGTGTGCGGAGCCTGGGGGTGCGGAGTCTGGGGGTGCGGAGCCTGGGGGTGCGGAGCCTGGGGGTGCTGGACCTGAGAGTGCTACGTCTGAGGGTGCTGAGCCTGGGGGTGCTGCGACTGAGGGTGCTGAGCCTGGGGGTGCTACTCCTGGGCGTTCGGCGCCTGGAGACCCTCCTTCTTCCCAGCAGCTGCGTGAGTGGTACTCGCGGTACTGCAGCCTCAGGAGAGGTGCTGCTGCAGCTGGTGCTCGTGGTTCCCCGCCTCGGCGGGAGCTACCCTCTCCCCAGCGTCTCCGAGAGTGGTACGCTCGGCGCTGCAGTCTCCGGAGTGGCGCTGCTGGTGCTGGGGACCCTGGAGTTGGAGCTACTGCTGGTGCTGAGGACCCTGGAGCTGGAGCTACTGCTGGTACTGAGGACCCTGGAGTCGGAGCTGCTGCTGGTACTACGGACCCGGGCGCTGGAGCTGCTGCTGGTGCTGCGGACCCTGGAGTTGGAGCTGCTGCTGGTGCTGCGGACCCGGGCGTTGGAGCTGCTGCTGGTCCTGCGGACCCTGGAGTTGGAGCTGCTGCTGGTGCTGCGGACCCTGGAGTTGGAGCTGCTGCTGGTGCTGAGGACCCTGGAGTTGGAGCTGCTGCTGGTGCTGGAGGTGCTGGCGCTGCTGGAGCTACTGGTGGTCCTGCTGCCGCTGTAGCTGGAGACCCTGGAGCTGAGGCTACTGGTGGTCTCTCTGCTAGTTCTGGCGGCGCTACGCGGCCGCAGCCGTACTTCGTTCCACTCCTTCAGCAGGTTCTTGGTCAGTCGCCTCCTCCTTGTCCTGCTCCCTCAGAGTGTCTTCCGCCAGTCCAGTCGCAGTCACAGTTACCTCCTGCCTTACCACTCCCTGGTCCTTCTCCTTACACTGGTCCGACTGGAGGTCTTACAGAGCGTCGTGAGCCTGAGTCTCGTCCTGCGTCGACCGAGTCTCGTCGTGCGTCGCCTGTTCGTGCAGCTCACACTGGTCGTCGTGTCCCTCGTCAGCGTCCTCCTGCTGTCCCAAGCACTCACCAGATGGCGCTTCGTCCTTCCTCTGCTCCTCAGCGCGTCCCCCTGCCGTCTCCTCCTGAGTCCTCTCTTCCTGCTCTTGCTGACCCGGAGTCTGACTCCCTTCGTGCTGCCAGTCCTACTGTCACGCGTCTCCTCGCCACTGTTGTCACTGACCCTTCCTTTGAGTCCTCTGTTGCGTCTGCTCTAGTCGCTGAGTTAGTTGACTTTGCTGCCGCTTGTCGTCTCGACTACGCCGCTAGTCTTGTCGCTGAGTCTGAGTCTGAGTCTGTCTGTCCTCCGTCCGTCGGGGGTGAGTGTGCTCTTGGCACGGACGTCCTTGAGGACAGGCAGGAGGAGTTTGAGTGCTTTGCCGCTGCTTTACCTCATCTCGTGTCCATGCTGGTTGCCCCTGAGGGAGACCCGGATGCTCCAGACATCCCGACCCCGCGCTCTTACGCTGAGGCGATCGCGGGTGAGTACTCCTCTCAGTGGCAGACAGCCATGGACGCAGAGATGGCTTCCTGGAAGTCCACAGGCACCTACATCGACGAGGTTCCCCCACCTGGGGCGAACATCGTCAGTGGCATGTGGATTTTCAGGGTGAAGCGGCCGTCGGGTTCTCCGCCTGTCTTCAAGGCGCGTTACGTTGCACGAGGCTTCAGTCAGCGAGAGGGAGTTGACTTCTTCCAGACCTTCTCCCCGACCCCGAAGATGACCACTCTTCGGGTTCTGCTGTACGTCGCCGCTCAGCGTGACTACGAGCTTCACTCTCTTGACTTCAGCACTGCTTTCCTACAGGGCAGCTTGCACGAGGAGATCTGGCTGCGCCGCCCACCTGGCTTCACTGGGTCGTTCCCTCCTGGTACCCAGTGGAGCCTCAGGCGGCCAGTCTACGGTCTCCGCCAGGCACCCCGTGAGTGGCACGACACACTGAGGACTACTCTTGCGGCTCTCGGGTTTGCTCCTTCTACTGCTGACCCGTCGCTGTTTCTGCGCACCGACGCCACTCTGCCACCGTTCTACGTTCTCGTTTACGTAGACGACTTGGTCTTTGCTACTGCTGACACTGCGTCACTTGCCCACGTGAAGTCGGAGCTGCAGAAGAGACACACGTGCACCGACCTGGGTGAACTGACAAGCTATCTTGGCTTGCGGATCACCCGGGACAGAGCACAGTGCACCATCACCTTGACTCAGTCACACATGGTGCAGCAGGTCCTTCAGCGCTTCCGCTTCACGTACTCCTCGCCTCAGGCCACTCCTCTGCCTACGGGTCACTCGCTCTCAGCTCTGCCTTCGGATGAGTCCGTAGAGCCGAGTGGCCCGTATCCAGAGCTTGTGGGCTGCCTCATGTACCTGATGATCTGCACTCGACCTGACCTTGCATACCCTCTTAGCATCCTCGCACGCTATGTCGCTCCTGGCCGTCACCGGAAGGAGCACATGGATGCAGCTAAGAGGGTGTTGCGCTACTTGTGCAGTACGTCGGGCATGGGGCTAGTGCTTGGAGGACGGGCTCGAGTTGTCCTCACTGGGCACTCAGACGCTTCTTGGGCTGACGACCAGGCTACTCAGCGGTCGTCTCAGGGTTACGCCTTCAGCCTTGGCTCTGGTTCAGTTTCTTGGCGTTCTACTCGCTCGTCTTCAGTTCTCAGCTCCAGTTGTGAGGCTGAGATCTACGCCACAGCCATGGCTGCACAGGAGTTACGCTGGCTCACCTACCTGCTGACTGACCTCGGAGAGCGGCCTCGTTCTCCTCCAGTGCTGTACGTAGACAACAAGGCTACCATTGCCTTGTGTCAGGAGCACAGACTGGAGCACAGGATGAAGCACATCGCTCTGCGCTACTTCCTTGCTCGAGAGCTGCAGCAGCGAGGTCAGCTTCGTCTTGCTTACGTGGCCACTCGGGCCAACACTGCTGATGTGTTCACCAAGGCTCTTCAGCCTTGTGATCATCAGCGCTTCTGTACTATTCTAGGCCTTGTGCCTACTGTGCCTCACTTGCTTACTTCTTGACTCTGTTTGTACTGTGATCTCTATATATATATCTGCATGCTTACACTTGCTAGGTTGTGATCACTGTACCCCTTGCTATATTATTAAACTGCATGTGAACTGGTCTTGTGACCACTTGCTTGTGCTCGGAATTTGTGTGGTTTCCTCGAGATCCACCCTGAGCTTGCTTTGCCCTTCCTGACTGGTCTTGTGACCACTACTTGCTCTGGCTATCCCCCATTTCGCCTATGGGGGTGTGTCAAAACATATGCATAATTGTATCTAGGCTATATTGGGGCTAGCCTTAGGGGGTAGAGAAATAGTCTCGACACTCTAGTCTTGTACCCCAATCTTGACCTAATCTCATCATTCTCGTTCTTTCCTCACCTAGCTAGTGATTCTAACATAGAGCATCTTGACGGTCTGGGGCGTCCGGGGAGAGCATCGCGACGCTCTGGGGCGTCCGGGGAGAGCATCGCGATGCTCTGGGGTGTCCGGGGAGAGCATTGCGACGCTCTGGGGCGTCCGGGGAGAGCATCGCGACGCTCTGGGGCGTCCGGGGAGAGCATAGCGACGCTCTGGGGCGTCCGGGGAGAGCATCGCGACGCTCTCGGGCGTCTAGGGAGAGCATCGCGACGCTCTGGGGCATCTGGGGAGAGCATCGCGACACTCTGGGGCGTCCGGGGAGAGCATCGCGACGCTCTGGGGCGTCCAGGGAGAGCATCGCGACGCTCTGGGGCGTCCGGGGAGAGCATCGCGACGCTCTTGGGCGTCCGGGGAGAGCATCGCGACGCTCTGGGGCGTCCGGGGAGAGCATCGCGACGCTCTGGGGCGTCCGGGGAGAGCATCACAACGCTCTGGGGCGGCTGGGGAGAGCATCGCGACGCTCTGGGGCGTCCGGGTAGAGCATCGCGACGCTCTGTGGCGTCCGGGGAGAGCATCACGACGCTCTGGGGCGTCCGGGGAGAGCATCCCAATGCTCTGGGGCATCCGGGGAGAGCATCGCGACGCTCTGGGGCGTCGGGGGAGAGCATTGCGATGCTCTGGGGCGTCCGGGGAGAGCATCACGACGCTCTGGGGCGGCTGGGGAGAGCATCGCGACGCTCTGGGGCGTCCGGGGAGAGCATCGCGACGCTCTGGGGCGTCCGGGGAGAGCATCGCGACGCTCTGGGGCGTCCGTGGAGAGCATCGCGACGCTCTGGGGCGTCCGGGGAGAGCATCGCGACGCTGTGGGGCGTCCGGGGAGAGCATCGCGACGCTCTGGGGCGTCCGGGGAGAGCATCGCGACGCTCTGGGGCGTCCGGGGAGAGCATCGCGACGCTCTGGGGCGTCCGGGGAGAGCATCGCGACGCTCTGGGGCGTCCGGGGAGAGCATCGCGACGCTCTGGGGCGTCCCGGGAGAGCATCGCGACGCTCTGGGGCGTCCCCGGGGAGAGCATCGCGACGCTCTGGGGCGTCCGGGGAGAGCATCGCGACGCTCTGGGGCGTCCGGGGAGAGCATCGCGACGCTCTGGGGCGGCCGGAGAGAGCATCGCGACGCTCTGGGGCGTCCGGGTAGAGCATCGTGACGCTCTGGGGCGTCCGGGGAGAGCATCGCGACGCTCTGGGGCGTCCGGGGAGAGCATCGCGACGCTCTGGGGCGTCCAGGGAGAGCATAGCGACGCTCTGGGGCGTCCGGGGAGAGCATCGCGACGCTCTGGGGCGTCCGGGGAGAGCATCGCGACACGCTGGGGCGTCCGGGGAGAGCATCGCGACACTCTGGGGCGTCCGGGAAGAGCATCGCGACGCTCTGGGGCGTCCGGGAAGAGCATCGCGACGCTCTGGGGCGTCCGGGGGAGCATCGCGACGCTCTGGGGCGTCCGGAGAGAGCATCGCGACGCTCTGGGGCGTCCAGGGAGAGCATCGCGAGGCTCTGGGGCGTCCGGGGAGAGCATCGCGACACGCTGGGGCGTCCGGGGAGAGCATCGCGACACTCTGGGGCGTC